TTGGTCCTTGGCAAAAGTTAGGACCTTTTGGTTTGAACCAGGCACCCTATATGGGTATTTTTTGCATAAATTGGTAATATGAGTTCTCAAACTTGATGTCCCACAAGTTGCTGGATCATATTTATAGTCAGCAGTTTTGCAATACTTGCATCTAACCCTAATAGGTTCAGAAGTATTACCAGTTTGATATTGTTCAAAGTGATTCCATACCTCACTTGGTTTCCTAATCGGTTTTCTCTTTTTTTGGGAAGGTAACGGTGGAAGTTGATCAGCTGCACTAGTCTGCTCTTGAGAGGTCACAACCGCTGGTGTAGATTCAGTCATAGGTGGTGGCTGATTAGAAGCAAAACCTTCTTCCACCCCCTGGTTTACCTCCATCTATATAATCAAACAAATTGCACATTAAATAAATTGCACATTAATCAGAAAAATTGCACATTAATCAGACAAATTAAACCCTATCATCATATTAAATAAATTGCACCACATCATGAACATTAAATAAATTAGAAGAACTCACCATCATTGGTATTGAGTGTGAGTTAGCTTCATCCCTCGTTGGTATTGAGTTAGCTTCATCCATCAATCAGTGAAAATGTGCACACGTGCATTAGCATTTGATCTCCGCATTTCTATATAAGAAATATACATAATGATATATTTAGCATAAAACCTTACAATCATCAATGTATACCATTTCCAAGTAAAAGACGTTGAGAAAGAAAACATAGAAGTTAATTATAAAATAAATTGAAAAGCACATTCAGTAACAGATGTCAATGTATACCATTTCCAAGTAAAAGACGTTGAGAAAGAAAACATATTAGTTAATGACAAAATAAATTGAAAAGCACATTCAGTAACAGATGTCAATGTATACCATTTCCAAGTAAAAGACGTTGAGAAAGAAAACATATTAGTTAATGACAAAATAAATTGAAAAGCACATTCAGTAACAGATGTCAATGTATACCATTTCCAAGTAAAAGACGTTGAGAAAGAAAACATATTAGTTAATGACAAAATAAATTGAAAAGCACATTCAGTAACAGATGTCAATGTATACCATTTCCAAGTAAAAGACGTTGAGAAAGAAAACATATTAGTTAATGACAAAATAAATTGAAAAGCACATTCAGTAACAGATGTCAATGTATACCATTTCCAAGTAAAAGACGTTGAGAAAGAAAACATATTAGTTAATGACAAAATAAATTGAAAAGCACATTCAGTAACAGATGTCAATGTATACCATTTCCAAGTAAAAGACGTTGAGAAAGAAAACATATTAGTTAATGACAAAATAAATTGAAAAGCACATTCAGTAACAGATGTCAAAAATCGAATGATCACATTGGACTAGTACTTTCTCAACCTCTATTTTTCCTTATTTCAACAATCTTCTGAACAATAACATAAACCAATCATAATCTCCATCAGAAAAAGCACATTGATTCATCTAAAATGAAACGTTGAGACCCAATCCATCTAAAATTCAAAATCCGATCTTACAACTACATTGATTCATATCCACACCACTATGACTAGCCACCACAAGCATAACTCAAAATGCCAGCCAAATCAACAAAACCCAAGAAACAAAACACCAGCTACTGTCCCTTAATCTCAGACTGTGAGTATGAATATACCCAAGTGGGATTTTCAATAAAAATGTCATCTTTCATGCTTCATTATTGAAAAACAAGCTATATTTCATCAAAGAAAATATAATTACACTTCCGCAATACCAAAGAAATTAATCAAACGAAAACAAAACGATTGGAGAGAGAGATACCTGGAGGTATTGTTATCAGGGTTGTGGCTGATAACAACAGCGTAGTCACCAGAAGCCCTAGCAAGGGTGTGCGACGATGGTGGCTTCTCAGATTCTCTAAGGTTCAAATGGGGGTTGTGTGAGGCTGTGTAAGGAAGAAGGGTTTGGCTGCGATGGATGAGATCTCTGAATGAGAATGAAGTCCGAAAATAAGTGGTTTGAAGTCCACTTCAGTGCGGCTGGGTGTACAATAATACTTCTACTTAGCCACTCAACTATTGACACATGTAAATTAATATATATATATAATTAATTAATATTTACACGGTTCGGTTCGGATTAGCACAGTTTTTCAAAATTTAAAACTGAAGCTGAACCAAACCACTCCGGTTTGGTTCGGATTTTAAAACTGTTGACTTTTTTAAAGTCAAAACCAAACCAAACTGGAAAATACGGTTTGGTTCGGCCGGTTTGGTCGGATCGGCCGGATTGATGCCCACCCCTAAGACTGAGGATATAAAAACGAAGTTGGGTCTTGATGCTATGACGAAAAATTATGAGTTCAAAGTGAAGAGATCCAATAAAGAAAGATTTGAAGTTAGTTGTGTTGATGATCGATGCATGTTGAAACTGTGTGCATCCAAGTTACGAAAATCCTCATATTTCATGGTGAAAAAATATTTTACAAAACACTCGTGCTCATTGGATGCTATCCATCGCCATCATCGACAGGCAAGTAGTTCTCTTATTGGCCAATGCATAAAATCTAAGTACGAGGGTGTATCACGAGTACATAGACCCCACGACATCATGGAGGATATGCGAAAGGACATGGGTGTGAGTATAAGTTATGTGAAGGCTTGGAGAGCTAGGGAACATGCACTGGAGTTGGTTAGGGGATCGCCAGAGGAATCTTATGCGATGCTTCCATCATATTGTGCTATGTTAGAAGCCAAAAATCCTGGTACTATAACTCATATTGAAACTGACAGTAATAATCATTTTATGTATTTTTTCATGTCACTTGGACCTTGCATCAGAGGATTTCGCACTGTTATCAGGGCAGTAATTGCACTTGACAGAACACTTTTAAAAGGTAAATATCATGGGACATTGTTTGTTGCCACATGCAAGGACGGAAATAACCAAACATACCCTGTTGCATTCAGAATTGGTTTTTGACAAAATTACGAGGAGCTATTGGGGATATTAATGACTTAGTTTTCATTTCTGATAGACATGAAAGCAGGGGCGGAACTAGGTAGAGGGCTACCATGGGCTTTAGCCTAGGTAGCTTTTTTATCAAATTAAAATATATTACATGTATTTTAATGTTATTCATCCCATAAAAACTTAGTAGCTCACTCAAATGTAGCCTTGTAACTCATTGTCCACTCAATTTTGTAGGCCTATAATCATCTTATATTTAATTTGTTTGCTCAATTAGGAAACATAATCTCTTAATAAACGTACTCATGATTTTAACTCTCAACCTTTTACTATTTTATCCCAATGTATACTTTTATTTCTAGAAAAACTAGAGAAACAGTAAGTACCCAAACAAAACTTGGTCCTTAGATTTTAAGCTAATAACTTTAGCTAGCCCACCCATTGAAAAATTCCTAGTTCCGCCCTTGCATGAAAGCATTCGTAAGGCTATCTCCACTATATTTCCGGAAGCTCATCATTGGGCATGCATATTCCATATAAGTTAGAATCTTAAGAACCATTTTAAGCATGAGAAAGCGCATTCACTGTATTTTAGAGCTACTAAAGCATATCTTGTTCATGAATTTGAT